CACCTTTTTGATTGGGACAGCACCTTCGCACTGCTTTGCGACAAGCATGGGGGACTCGTCTAGATAAATCAATCATTGTCAGATTTTTGTTTTCAATGAATCTCAATTTAGATATTTGGTAACAATTAGGCTGAGGGAAATGTTAGGTAAATTGATCACCTTTATTCTAGTTTGTTCAGTGGGGAGAACTTTATTCAGTGGGGAGAACAAGTATTTGATACACTGCCGATTTTGCAGGTTTTCCTACTTACAAAGCATGTAAGTATCACATTGTATGATTTTTAAGTAATTAATTTGCATTTTATTGCATGACATAAGTATTTGATACATCAGAAAAGCAGAACTTAATATTTGGTACAGAAACCTTTGTTTGCAATTACAGAGATCATACGTTTCCTGTAGGTCTTGACCAGGTTTGCACACACTGCAGCAGGGATTTTGGCCCACTCCTTCATACAGACCTTCTCCAGATCCTTCAGGTTTCGGGGCTGTCGCTGGGCAATACGGACTTTCAGCTCCCTCCAAAGATTTTCTATTGGGTTCAGGTCTAGAGACTGGCTAGGCCACTCCAGGACCTTGAGATGCGTCTTACGGAGCCACTCCTTAGTTGCCCTGGCTGTGTGTTTCGGGTCGTTGTCATGCTGGAAGACCCAGCCACGACCCATCTTCAATGCTCTTACTGAGGGAAGGAGGTTGATGGCCAAGATCTCGCGATACATGGCCCCATCCATCCTCCCCTCAATACGGTGCAGTCGTCCTGTCCCCTTTGCAGAAAAGCATTCCCAAAGAATGATGTTTCCACCTCCATGCTTCACGGTTGGGATGGTGTTCTTGGGGTTGTACTCATCCTTCTTCTTCCTCCAAACACAGCGAGTGGAGTTTAGACCAAAAAGCTCTATTTTTGTCTCATCAGACCACATGACCTTCTCCCATTCCTCCTCTGGATCATCCAGATGGTCATTGGCAAACTTCAGACTGGCCTGAACATGCGCTGGCTTGAGCAGGGGGACCTTGCGTGCGCTGCAGGATTTTAATCCATGACGGCGTAGTGTGTTACTAATGGTTTTCTTTGAGACTGTGGTCCCAGCTCTCTTCAGGTCATTGACCAGGTCCTGCCGTGTAGTTCTGGGCTGATCCTCACCTTCCTCATGATCATTGATGCCCCACGAGGTGAGATCTTGCATGGAGCCCCAGACCGAGGGTGATTGACCGTCATCTTGAACTTCTTCAATTTTCTAATAATTGCGCCAACAGTTGTTGCCTTCTCACCAAGCTGCTTGCCTATTGTCCTGTAGCCCATCCCAGCCTTGTGCAGGTCTACAATTTTATCCCTGATGTCCTTACACAGCTCTCTGGTCTTGGCCATTGTGGAGAGGTTGGAGTCTGTTTGATTGAGTGTGTGGACAGGTGTCTTTTATACAGGTAACGAGTTCAAACAGGTGCAGTTAATACAGGTAATGAGTGGAGAACAGGAGGGCTTCTTAAAGAAAAACTAACAGGTCTGTGAGAGCCGGAATTCTTACTGGTTGGTAGGTGATCAAATACTTATGTCATGCAATAAAATGCAAATTAATTATTTAAAAATCATACAATGTGATTTTCTGGATTTTTGTTTTAGATTCCGTCTCTCACAGTTGAAGTGTACCTATGATAAAAATTACAGACCTCTACATGCTTTGTAAGTAGGAAAACCTGCAAAATCGGCAGTGTATCAAATACTTGTTCTCCCCACTGTATTAGCTGATCAGAAAATTTGGCTAGCATGTTATGAGAGTGGATTTTGATCTTCACTTGCGTAGTAGCTCTCCTGCTCCTGACTAAAAGCCTGTGACTTGTCTGATAATGTGATTTTGTTTCACTGAATCTCCATCTGTATATTTGGTCAATTGATCTCTGGCCGGACAAGAGGAAGTAGTAGCTCATTTATTTGTTTGCTCATTTATCACTGATCAGAAACATCTAGCATGCAATGTAGCCTAAATCAAGTGTATTATTGATCTATTGACTCACGTAGTAGCCTTATATAGAGCCTTGGCTATTTTCCTATCGTCCCAATCCCACTGAAACCCAAAATCCTAATTTTATTCTGTAATCCATAGGTTGCATGATCAAAGTGTAATGTGTTTTCTTTTTCCACTACTGCAGAAATTTGTATTAAATGTTTATGTATACTAATTGGTTGCTTCAAGTCAGATGTCAATACGGTGTAATGTCATTGGCTATGCTTGCAGACAGGGGGAGATGGCAAACATAACATCTTCCCAGTCTTACATTGACATGCAAGTGGTAGGTCACATTCTGAAATACTCTATTATATTTAAGCAATAAAGCCCAAGGGGGTGTTGTAGTATATGGCCAAAATACCATGGCTAAGGGCTGGATACAGTCCTTAGCCGTGGTATATTGGCCATATACCACAAACCCCCGAGGTGCCTTATTGCTATTATAAACTGGTTACCAAAGTAATTAGAGCAGTTTAGCCAAATACATTTAAACTCAGTTTTTCACAATTCCTGACATTTAATCCTAGTAAATATTCCCTGTTTTAGGTCAGTTAGGATCACCACTTTATTTTAAGAATGTGAAATGTCAGAATAATAAGATCATTATTTATTTCAGCTTTTATTTCTTTAATCACATTCCCAGTGGGTCAGAAGTTTACATACACTCAATTAGTATTTGGTAGCATTGCCTTTAAATTGTTTAACTTGGGTCAAACATTTTGGGTAGCCTTCCACAAGCTTGCCACAATAAGTTGGGTGAATTTTGGCCCATTCTCCCTGAAAGAGCTGGTGTAACTGAGTCAGGTTTGTAGGCCTCCTTGCCCGCACACGCTTTTTCAGTTCTGCCCACAAATGTTCTATAGGATTCAGGTCAGGGCTTTGTGATGGCCACTCCAATACCTTGATTTTGTTGTCCTTAAGCCATTTTGCCACAACTTTGGAAATATGCTTGGGGTCATTGTCCATTTGGAAGACCCATTTGCGACCAAGCTTTAACTTCCTGACGGATGTCTTGAGATGTTGCTTCAATATATCCACATAATTTTCCTTCCTCATGATGCCATCTATTTTGTGAAGTGCACCAGTCCCTCCTGCAGCAAAGCACCCCCACAGTATGATGCTGCCACCCCCGTGCTTCACGTTGGGATGGTGTTCTTCGGCTTGCAAGCTGCCACCTTTTTCCTCCAAACATAACGATGGTCATTATGGCCAAACTGTTCTATTTTTGTTTCATCAGACCAGAGGACATTTCTCCAAAAAGTATGATCTTTGTCCCCATGTGCAGTTGCAAACTGTAGTCTGGCTTTTTTATGGCGGGTTTGGAGCAGTGGCTTCTTCCTTGTTGAGCGGCCTTTCAGGTTATGACGATATAGGACTAGTTTTACTGTGGATATAGATACTTTTGTACCGGTTTCCTCCAGCATCTTCACAGTGTCCTTTGCTGTTGTTCTGTGATTGATTTGAACTTTTCGCACCAAAGTACGTTCATCTCTAGGAGACAGAACGCGTCTCCTTCCTGAGCGGTATGAAGGCTGCGTGGTCCCATGGTGTTTATACTTGCGTACTATTGTTTGTACAGATGAACGTGGTACCTTCAGGCGTTTGGAAATTGCTCCCAAGGATGAACCAGACTTGATTTTCCCATGATGTCAAGCAAAGAGACACTGAGTTTGAAGGTAGGCCTTGAAATACATCCACAGGTGCACCTCCAATTGACTCATCAGAAGCTTCTAAAGCCATGACATCATTTTTCTGGAATTTTCCAAGCTGTTTAAAGTCACAGTCAACTTAGTGTATGTAAACTTCTGACCCACTGGAATTGTGATACAGTGAATTATAAGTGAAATAATCTGTCTATAAACAATTGTTGGAAAAATTACTTGTGTCATGCACAAAGTAGATGTCCTAACCGACTTGCCAAAACTATAGTTTGTTAACAAGAAATTGGTGGTTGAAAAAGTGGTTGAAAAACGAGTTTTAATGACTCCAACCTAAGTGTATGTTAACTTCCGCCTTCAACTGTACGTCCTGATGTGTGTAAATATGTGCATGGTACCTGTTAGATATTTGGGGCATCCTGGGATATGCTTTTGTATATTATTGCTGGAAAGCTAGCATGCTTTAATTGTAATGGTCGCATTAGCCCCTGCTAACTGTTATTTCCATGCTAACAGACGAATCACGAATCTACAGCCATCAACATGCTGTTGTCCTGCACATCTAATGTGCTTCCTTGTGTCCATCATCAGAATAAACGCCAATTAACTGGGATTGCTGGGTGGATAGTCCTTTCTTTGAAAACACAAAAGCATGTCTACACTATGCATGTCAAATACAGCTATAACATTTCCCCCACTTCTCTGCTCTGTCTCGTACTGCTGCCCATATGAGAGTTTCAGTAGAGAATGTGTTATCAACAAACGGTATGAGAGTAGATATGGATAAAACAAATGTTTTTAACAGAGTTGGTCCCCGTTAAGATACCTTGATATTTTTTTCAATATCCTCTCATCTCTCCGTTATTCATGCACTGATCTGCTATCTGTATAGGCTAATCATCAACTCGATATTGCGAAATAGGATATTCTGTCATTGTTTGAAACTTAGCATCTTTGGTCATTTGACTGCCGTTGCAAAGTTTGTATGATTCGACAACGCTACAGCCTACTCAGGGTGCACGCTCTGTGTCGATATATCCTACTGCTGAAATGCGCTGAATTAATTGAGGAACATGATAGAGCTCTGAATTTATGAACGGCCAGTTTCGCAATTCACAACAATGTCATTGGCGATCAAAGTTACTCTATCATTACTAAATATCAGTTTCACTTGCTGTGAAATCATTACATAGTGACCCAGACAAGCCGTCAATGTAGCGCAGCGACAACCTTATTTTTGGAGAACCCTGGCATAGTGTCCATATTTTGGTTTAAAACGCTTTAAATGGCACTTACGATTTTTGCAGTTATTCCCGGTATTGTAACTTGGTAGATTTTCGAGAAAATATTCATCCCTACTGTGTGGTTCTTCAGTTTATTGATATTTAATTTGTAGTTTAAGTACATTTTATAACTCATGAGACATTCAACTGGACAGTAGAAGATCTATAGTCCCATTTAACACAATTGAATGAAAGCTTTTGCTTCGTCTCAGAACCATTCCAACAGTCCCTCTTCCAGTTAGGAATTCCTAACAAAAATCGACAAGGAAACAACAGGGTCAATGATTGTTACCTCCTTCAGCAGTACACTGCTGCTTTGCTGCTCAGCATTGAAACATAAAATACATCTTAAACCACAAAGTTACCATGTATCACCTTGGGAGTACTGCAGAGACACAAAATAACGACTTATGTACAAATCTGTGGTTCGATTTTAGAAAAAGGTGACTTTCTGTTTTTCTCCCAGTCTTAGGACGACTTCACAAAGGCCATTTTGAAGGTGTGTTTCTTGTCCTCATTCTTGTCTGTCCTCCTGTCCTCTGTCCTCCTGTCCTCTGGGCTTGGTGAGGGGGGTTTGTCTGGTGAGCCCTGGGGTTCTGAGGGGCTGTCTGGGGCTTTGGGACTGGCTGGTTGCTCTGCCTTGCTTTGGCCCTCTACGGGTGGTGGAGGTGGGGCTGGGTCAGGCTGTGGGGCGAACAGAAGAGACACAAAATGAAGATCTGAAGACTGGGGCAACACAGGCAACATGTGGGTGCGTACATTACATTTTGACTGTAGCAATTATGCCTCTGACAATCACAAACTGTCTTAGTAAAGAGCGACACATTTTGATGTTGTGGAGCTTCCATATGCTGTGCTGTCATTCATCTTACATACACATTATTAATGTAATCTTCCATAGACATGCAAACATACAGGTCTAATAAGGAGCACAACCCCTAACTCGACTCTCTAAATAAGATTATATCAGTCAGTCAGTATTATATCACGGTCTAATCATGTCATTCTAGGCTTCACCTAGATGTAACAGCCCATGGTTGTGTTCATTAGGGCACACACGTTTTGCAACAGAAATAAACAGGTTTTTTATTAGCCAAATTCAGATAGTACCTTCTAGGCTTTGGAGCTTTTTCTTCCCTTTGGTGCCTAACAAACACAACCCAGCTAAATAGAATGAAAGCGTACCCAAACTTGCTTCAGCCATTCAACCCCATAGATAATATAACAGCAGATAGGCTGATGTCATAGAGCCCCTATTCATCAGAATGGAACAATTTGTCAGCCATCTTTGTTAGGACCGGTTCAAACCAACAGCAATAGGAACATATGGCAGAAGTGGCATGTGCACTCTGTGTCGATGTTCAACTCCTGTCCGTCTGTGATCGCTCACCTCGCTAAAGCCCAGTCCAACGTGTCTCCTGTTCCTGCCCGACAGCTTCCCGTCCAGCCCCTGCTGGTACTGCAGCTCCAGCTCAGAGTTCATCCTCTGATCCTCCGCCCCTGCAGAGGACAAACTAGTGAAACACCAATCATACCCAATACAGTGCTATCTGGTCCCAGATAGTACTGTATTGATATGGGATAAGGTTAGATTAGATGAGATAGATACATCTGTGAGTAAAGTGTTTGAAAGGGGTGTAGAATAGGGTTGTCCCGATTCTAGTACCGTGACAACCCTTTTTCTATAATTCAATGAGGGTTACTCACCACTGCGGACATGGGATGTTGATTTGTGATCTCCAATGACTAGACGTCCAGTGTGTTCTTTCTGCAGGACCAAATACAGTAGACATAGCATTCTGTAATACCACAGTTCTGTTTCTCCTTTGACAATGCTGTATGGATTATAAATTGTAGCCTACGATAAAACGGTCTCAAACTAATACTGGAATAGAGGTAACCATCACAAGTTGAAATAAGTTAATAATAACTGTAATAATAGTCCAGTACCAGACTGGCACACTTGATTCAACTAGTCAAGGGCTTGGTGATTAGTTGACTTAGCTACATTTGAAATCAGGTGTGCCAGTAAGCGCTACAACAAATGTGTGAAACGTCTAGTGGTCCCCGAGGAGAGGGTTGGGAAACAAATGGTCTACATAGAATATGACCAAACGAACCTTCCCTGCACCCATCAACCGCAAAAACTTCTGCTTTCTCTCGTTGTCCCCCAGATCTGCAGCTGCCCATGGAGTAGGTCCATCCTGCAAGAAACCGACACAGAATGGGCTACAGTACACAAGTCCTGTGTAGCTAAAAACTAGATTCCCTGCGGACCTGTCATCTTTTCACTCCCTCCTCTCTACATTCTCTTCCTCTGCTTCCGCTACTAAAGCCACTTTCTACCACTCTAAATTTCAAGCCTCTGCCTCTAACCCTAGGAAGCTCTTTGCCACCTTCTCCTCCCTGCTGAATCCTCCTCCTCCTCCCTCTCTGTGGATGACTTCGTCAACCATTTTGAAAAGAAGGTTGACGACATACGATCCTCATTTATTAAGTCAAATGACACCGCTGGTCCTGCTCACACTGCCCTACCCTATGCTTTGACTTCTTTCTCCCCTCTCTCTCCAGATGAAATCTTGCGACTTGTGATAGCCGGCCGCCCAACAACCTGCCCGCTTGACCCTATCCCCTCCTCTCTTCTCCAGACCATTTCCGGAGACCTTCTCCCTTACCTCACCTCACTCATCAACTCATCCTTGACCGCTGGCCATGTCCCTTCCGTCTTCAAGAGAGCAAGAGTTGCACCCCTCCTCAAAAAAACCTACGATGTCAACAACTACAGACCAGTATCCCTTCTTTCTTTTCTCTCCCAAAACTCTTGAGCATGCCGTCTCTAGCCAACTCTCCTGCTATCTCTCTCAGAATGACCTTCTTGATCCAAACCAGTCAGGTTTCAAGACTGGTCATTCAACTGAGACTGCTCTTCTCTGTGTCACGGAGGCTCTCCGCACTGCTAAAGCTAACTCTCTCTCCTCTGCTCTTTTCCTTCTAGACCTATCCGCTGCCTTTGATACTGTGAACCATCAGATCCTCCTCTCCACCCTCTCCGGCGCTGCTCACTCTTGGATTGCGTCCTACCTGACAGGTCGCTCCAACCAGGTGGCGTGGGGAGAATCTGTCTCAGCACCACGTGCTCTCACCACTGGTGTCCCCCAGGGCTCAGTTCTAGGCCCTCTCCTATTCTCTCTATACACCAAGTCACTTGGCTCTGTCATATCCTCACATGGTCTCTCCTGTCATTGCTACGCAGACGACACGATTAATTTTCTCCTTTCCCCCTTGTGATAACCAGGTGGCGAATCGCATCTCTGCATGTCTGGCAGAAATATCAGTGTGGATGTCGGATCACCACCTCAAGCTGAACCTCGGCAAGACGGAGCTGCTCTTCCTCCCTGGGAAGGACTGCCCGATCCATGATCTCGCCATCACGGTTGACAACTCCATTGTGTCCTCCTCCCAGAATGCAAAGAGCCTTGGCGTGACCCTGGACAACACCCTGTCGTTCTCTGCTAACATCAAAGCGGTGACCCGATCCTGCAGGTTCATGCTCTACAACATTCGCAGAGTACGACCCTACCTTACACAGAAAGCGGCACAGGTCCTAATCCAGGCACTTGTCATCTCCCGTCTGGATTACTGCAACTCGCTGTTGGCTGGGCTCCCTGCCTGTGCCATTAAACCCCTACAACTTATCCAGAACGCCGCAGCCCGTCTGGTGTTCGACCTTCCCAAGTTCTGGCCTGCTAGCTCCCCTATCTCTACAGAAGCACAGTTCCCACTCAGCCCAGTCAAAGCTATTTGCTGCTCTGGCACCCCAATGGTGGAACAAGCTCCCCACGACAGCGGAGTCACTGACCGCCTTCCGGAGATACTTGAAACCCTACCTCTTTAAGGAATACCTGGAATAGTATAAAGTAATCCTTCTACCCTCCCCCCCCTCCCCCATTAAAAAAAGAAGACACTTGCTATCCCACTTGCTATCATAAGTTGAATGCACCAATTTGTAAGTGGCTCTGGATAAGAGCGTCTGCTAAAATGACTCAAATGAATGGGATCCCACCAGAATGTAGCCTAGGCATATTATTACACCTTGGGCTCAAAGATCACAAACTGCCCAATTGGATTAGCTAAAATCACACCAATCTTAATATGACGCTAGCTAGCCACGTCATAGGCCTAGTAGTAACAGCATTGAGTTAATTTATATCAAAATCAATTTTATTAAATTGACTGGCTGACCTATATCTGGCTGGCAGGCAAGCGTCATCATGACATGTCAAACTGGCCACTTTAACAAGGTGAACAAGTTAGCTAAAAATAACACTTATGATGATTTGTTGACTAACGTTAATGAATTAATTAGCTAGCTAGCTGTTTTACTCTATGGCTTTGTTGAGCTAAGACGCATTATGTTACTGGCAGCATAGCTAGCTAGGATGCAAATTGACTGCATACTTCTTTTTGCTAAAGCAAACCAGACACGGGCCTTGCTAGCCAGTTAGCTAGCTATCTACGTTTGCTGAACTGCAAGGCTAGTCCCGTTCAATGCATTTAACTATAGTTCACCTACTTCATTTGGAGAGCCAGATCTTTTTGTCCCGTGTCGATTCCCTTCGGAACTCATTTTCTTCGTAAAAATGGTTTGCTTTAGCTAGCTAAATCAAAAATATTGACATAGCAGTAGAGACTGGCTGGCTAGCTATGCGACCATCAACAAACAGCTGCAGTTGTGAACCTGACCGGAAACTAGCGATTCCAACTTCCGGTTGCGGTGTTTTCTTCTTCTTCTTCTAATATAATAATAATATGCCATTTAGAGACGCTTTTATCCAAAGCGACTTACAGTCATGCGTGCATACATTTTTGTGTATGGGTGGTCCCGGGGATCGAACCCACTACCTTGGCGTTACAAGCGCCGTGCTCTACCAGGTGTATTGCCGCCACCTACTGTACGGGGTTTTGAAACAAAACAAAAATAATATATTCAAATGTGGGAAGGGGATAATACAAAAATAAATCAAACAATCATCCCATTCAAATCACATCCCTACACAGGCTCCGGTGCCGAGCCGCACTCACAATGCCTATTTTCTCAGATTTCTTCTCCGTTTGCGCTGTGCAGTTGATAACCAAACTAATAAACGCTACAGCGTTGACAAGGAACATCATCTTTGTGTCTCTACTCCTGCTACCATTACTTCTTCAACTTCACTCATTTCTTCCACTCTTCTCACCACCTCTGGATAGGAGACATTTTGGACAGTCCTTATTCTTGCCACCTCTGTCTCCTTCACCCTAACAGGATGAAATTCGGGTGCATGTTCACCACCACAATTGCAGCATTTAGGCTCAGCTGGCATATAATACTCCTCCCGTCTACATACACTTGACACAGCCACCCGAGCCACGGCCTGTTCACCCCACTACCATCCAGAAGGCGAGGTCAGTACATGTGCATCAAAGCTGAGACCGAGAGACTGAAAAACAGAGTCGAAACAACAGGTGCGGGACAAGGTACGTCTGTTGAAACTGGGTTAAAAAAAAATCTGTGGAAAAACTATTCCACTCCGATTCCCTCTATGGATGGGTGTATCTTTGAATTCGCTGTTGAATGGCCTGCTCCTTCTCCATTTTCGGAACACCGCCACTCTCTCTTTGGGCACTCAGGAGAGTCCGCTGGGATGGTCCTAGAGCCAGATAGAAGTTACACAAATCATTTTAGGTCATTTCTCTCTCTATAATGTCTACATCTGACATAATCTAGTAGACTTACCATTGGCACAGCGGTCAACGATGCTGTGTAGGAGCTCAGACCGGAAACACCATGTCTAAACCTCCTTGATGGTTTCACCACAAATGCCCTGGCTGCCTTGGAGAACTCTTGCTTCAAACAGAGCCCTGCTGTCTGTCCACTGAATAAATGCGGTCCAAGGCAGCCACATGGAGTCTTGCGACCATCCCCTGCTGGCCGAACTTGTTTCTCTTGGGCACGTATTTTAGTGTACAGGGCATGTACACTCTCGAGTTCACCGGTCACACTTCGTCACCTACAAAATAAAATATCTAATTAATGAAACTAGAGATTAATAAGTAGGCTACTACAATTATTCTAGTACTGATTTGATTAAATAAATTGGTTGTAGTTATTCACATAGGAAGGCAAAAAGAAATAAGGAGTTGAAAAATGTGCTCATTAATGTACTTTTATTTAATCTTCTTGAGATCCTTCAACAACCTCCAGGACACCTACAGCACCCGTTGTCACAGGAAGGCCAAAAAGATCATCAAGGACATCAAGCACCCGAGCCACTGCCTGTTCACCCCGCTATCATCCAGAAGGCGAGGTCAGTACAGGTGCATCAAAGCTGGGACCGAGAGACTGAAAAACGGCTTCTATCTCAAGGCCATCAGACTGTTAAATATCCATCACTTGCCAGCCTCCACCCAGTACCCTGCCCTGAACTTAGTCACTGTCACTAACCGGCTATCACCCGGTTACTCAACCCTGTACCCTAGAGGCTGCTGCCCTATGTACATAGACATGGAACACTGGTCACTTTAATAATGGAACGCTGGTCACTTTAATAATGTTTACATACCGTTTTACTCATTTCATATGTATATACAGTAATCCCTCGTTTATCGCGGGGGTTACGTTCCGAAAATGACCCGCGATAAGTGAAATCCGCGAAATAGAAAACTTTTTTTTTTTACAATTAGCAACTATTACATGTATACAAATACAGTGACTCACGTGTAGGCCGTTTCACTGCTCTTCAGACTGGGCCGCTGCATCCTGACTGCGCTCTGCAGTGTTCTCTTCTTCTGAAGCCCGCGGTGCAGGTGTGTTTGTTCGGGAGAAGAACATAGTGATAGGCAGCTGTTGTCGCTCTTTTTTCTTCTTTGCAAAAAGATCCTTGTACACCGACATGCCACCATCGATTACGTTGGAGAACTGTAATGAACGGCTCATCAAAGGGTCCCATTCCTCAGCTACTCGCTTAAGTTCAGTGGCCATTCGCACCATGGTTGCTAAGCGACCAAGCGTTAGTCCTTCCTCCTCATCTCTCGTGTCCTCTTCTCCCTCTTCTCTTTCATCGTCGCTTTGTGGCTTTGTCATTTACCTTCCCTTAGCATGTCCAGAAGTTTAACTTTATCTGAGATAGGTAGCATCTTCCGCCGTTTGGGCCCATCCGCAGGTGCTTTTGTCGGTCCAGGCCGTTTCGTCGACATTATGGGTTTAGGAGATGTTCGAAATTACAAGATAATTTGGCCAACTTAATGTAAATTTGCCAAGCTGTTTTATGTACGTACACATAACTGCACGAGACGACAAAATGATAGCACAATTCGTAGCATGTTTTGATACAAGAAGCGGGAGTGAGTTTTTAGCGAATCAGAATGCAGAGCACAATGCACCAAAAAAAAAAAATGCATTATGAAAATCCGCGAAATAGCGAATCCGCGATAAGTGAACCGCGAAGTGGCGAGGGATCACTGTACTGTATTCAACTGTATTCTAGTCAATGCCACTCCTACATTACTCGTCCTAATATTGATATATTTCTTAATTTCATTATTTGACTTTTAGATGTGTGTATTGTTTGACACTACTGCACTGTTGGAGCCAGGAACACAAGCATTTTGCTACACCCGCAAAAACATCTGCTAAACATGTGTATATGACCAATAAAATATGATTTGAGGACGATTTTCCTCACTACCTCGAAAGCTGCTGACAATGTGTTCATCATGTTCCTTCTTCAGGTGTGTGTGTGTGTGGGGGGGGGGGGGGGGGGGGGGTGCTCACAGCAGTTGAGTGTCTCCAGTGACCCACAGGTCATACTCATGCCAGATATCAGCATGCGAGTCCCTCAAGTGCACCCTCACATTTGGATGCCTGTCGGTGGCCAAGGTTTCAATACTGCATCCATGGGCCTGTTAGTAATAATGATTATATTATTATCCTAAAAAGGTACCTATGTCCTCTTCATACATCCACCAAATACCCACTTACAACCCTTAGGCTAGCTACAAAATGTAGGTTAGGCTACAGCTTACCTCAATGTGTTGCAGGCATCTCTCTGATCCCTCCGTCTCCAACCAGTAGCTGTTCTTCCCCTCGGTCACATGCACAGTCTCCTGGGCGAGGACCAAATCAAATCAAATTTTATTTGTCACATACACGTGTTCAGGAGATATTATTGCGGGTGTAGCGAAATGCTTGTGCTTCTAGCTCCAACAGTGCAGCAATATCTAACAAGTAATATCTAACAATTTCACAACATATACCCAATACACACAAATCTAGTAAGGAATGGAATTAAGAATATATACATATGGACGAGCAATTACATTTACATTACATTTACGTCATTTAGCAGACGCTCTTATCCAGAGCGACTTACAGGAGCAATTAGGGTTAAGTGCCTTGCTTAAGGGCACATCGACAGATTTTTCACCTAGTCGGCTCGGGGATTAGAACCAGCGACCTTTCGGTTACTGGCACAACGCTCTTACCCACTAAGCTACCTGCCGCCAATTACAGAGCGGCATGGACTAAGATACAGTAGAATATTATAGGTTACAGTATATACATATAAGATGAGTAATGCAAAATATGTAAACATTATTAAAGTGACTAGCGTTCCATTTCTTAAAGTGGCCAGTGATTTCAATAGGCAGCAGCAGCCCCTAATGTGCTAGTGATGGCTATTTAACAGTCTGATGGCCTTGAGATAGAAGCTGTTTTTCAGTGTCTCGGTCACAGCTTTGATGCACCTGTACTGACCTTGCCTTCTGGATGATAGCAGGGTGAACAGGCAGTGGCTTGGGTGGTTGATGTCCTTGATGATCTTTTTGGCCTTCCTGTGACATCTGGTGCTGTAGGTGTCCTGGAGGGCGGGTAGTTTGCACCCGGTAATGCGTTCGGCAGACCGCACCACCCTCTGGAGAGGCCTGCGGTTGCGGGCAGTGCAGTTGCCGAACCAGGCGGTGATACAGCCCGACAGGATGCTCTCAATTGTGCATCTGTAAAAGTTTGTGAGGGTTTTAGGTGCCAAGCCAAATTTATTCAGCCTCCTGAGGTTGAAGAGGCTCTGTTGCGCCTTCTTCACCACACTGTCTGCGTGGGTGGACCATTTCAGTTTGTCAGTGATGTGTACGCCAAGGAACTTGAAGCTTTCCACCTTCTCCACTGCGGTCCTGTCGATGTGGATAGGGGGGTACACCCTCTGCTGTTTCCTGAAGTCCACGATCATCTCCTTTGTTTTGTTGACGTTGAGTGAGAGGTTATTTTCCTGGACCACACTCCCAGAGCCCTCACCTCCTCCCTGTAGGCTGTCTCGTCATTGTTGGTAATCAAGCCTACTACTGTTGTGTCGTCTGCAAACTTGATGATTGAGTTGGAGGCGTGCTTGGCCACGCAGTCATGGGTGAACAGGGAGTACAGGAGGGGGCTGAGCACGCACCCTTGTGGGGCCCCAGTGTTGAGGATCAGCGTAGTGGAGGTGTTGCTTCCTACCTTCACCAACTGGGGGCGGCCCGTCAGGAAGTCCAGGACCCAGTTGCACAGGGCGGGGTCCAGACCCAGGGCCTCGAGTTTAATGATGAGCTTGGAGGGTACTATGGTGTTGAATGCTGAGCTAGTCAATTAACAGAATTCTTACATAGGTATTCCTCTTGTCCAGATGGGATAGGGCAGTGTGCAGTGTGATGGCAATTGCATCGTCTATGGATCTATTGGGGCGGTATGCAAATTGAAGTGGGTCTAGGGTGACAGGTAAGGCAGAGGTGATATGATCCTGCACTTCATGATGACAGAGGTGAATGCTATGGGGCGATAGTCATTTAGTTCAGTTACCTTTGCTTTCTTGGGTACAGGAACAATGGTGGCCATCTTGAAGCATGCGGAGACAGCAGACTGGGATAGGGAGAGTTTGAATATGTCCTTAAACACACCAGCCAGCTGGTCTGCGCATGCTCTGAGGGAAGCACAGTGGCCTGGGAAGCACAGTGGCCTGGTGAATCACAGCGTGCGTCTCCAGATACGATCAGTGGACTGTCACCAATTGTAGCCAGAATGGCATCCGTGTGCTGGGTCCACATGTGGTTAACCTCTGGCACAGTGTAGATGCACTGTTGGTTTGCAAACTGTCGCAGCGACATGGACACGAGGCTGAGGAGGTGACATGTTTCCACAAATGTGGAGGTGGAGCCGCCAGTAAGTAAGACTGCTGATGGAACTTTCCCACTCTGGTCTGGGCTCCCACTTCCTCCTGTGGCCCACAACACACTGTCTCCATGGTGATGGGAAAACCATTTATTTTTAACTGATGACACCTGCTCGACATCCTGGCTCATGGCAGACGTTGAACAACTCCTTCAGCTTGCTATCAAAGACTATGTATTTAACATCTTACATTCAGCTTGCTATCAAAGACTATGTACAGTTGAAGTCGGAAGATTACATACAGTGAGGGAAAAAAGTATTTGATCCCCTGCTGATTTTGTACGTTTGCCCACTGACAAAGACATGATCAGTCTATAATTTTAATGGTAGGTTTATTTGAACAGTGAGAGGCAGAATAACAACAACAAAAAAATCAGAAAACCGCATGTCAAAAATGTTATAAATTGATTTGCATTTTAAATGAGGGAAATAAGTATTTGACCCCTCTGCATAACATGATTTAGTACTTGGTGGCAAAACCCTTGTTGGCAATCACAGAGTTCAGACGTTTCTTGTAGTTGGCCACCAGGTTTGCACACATCTCAGGAGGGATTTTGTTCCACTCCTCTTTGCAGATGCCATCTATTTTGTGAAGTGCACCAGTCCCTCCTGCAGCAAAGCACCCCCACAGCATGATGCTGCCACCCCCGTGCTTCATGTTGGGATGGTGTTCTTCGGCTTGCAAGCCGCACCCTTTTCCTCCAAACATAATGATGGTCATTATGGCCAAATAGTTATATTTTTGTTTCATTATACCAGAGGACATTTCTCCAAAAAATACGATCTTTGTCCCCATGTGCAGTTACAAACCGTAGTCTGGCTTTTTTATGGCGGTTTTGGAGCATTGGCTTCTTCCTTGCTGAGCGGCCTTTCAGGTTATGTCGATATAGGACTTGTTTTACTGTGGATATAGATACTTTTGTACCTGTTTCCTCCAGCATCTTCACAAGGTCCTTTGCTGTTGTTCTGGGATTTATTTGCACTTTTTGCACCAAAGTACGTTCATCTCTAGGAGACAGAATGCGTCTCATTCCTGAGGGGTATGACGGCTGCATGGTCCCAAGGTGTTTATACTTGCGTACTATTGTTTGTACAGATGAACGTGGTACCTTCAGGTGTTTGGAAATTGCTCCCAAGGATGAACCAGACTTGTGGAGGTCTACACATTTTTTTCCTGAGGTCTTGGCTGATTTTTTTTGGTTTTCCCATGATGTCAAGCAAAGAGGCACTGAGTTTGAAGGTAGGCCTTGAAATACATCTACAGGTACAGCTCCAATTGACTCAAATGATGTCAATTAGCCTATCAGAAGCTTCTAAAGCCATGTCATCATTTTCTGGAATTTTCCAAGCTGTTTAAAGGCACAGTCAACTTAGTGTATGTAAACTTCTGACGCACTGGAATTGTGATACAGTGAATTATAAGTCAAATAATCTGTCTATAAACAATTGTTGGATAAATTAATTGTGTCATGCACAAAGTAAATGTCCTAACCGACTTGCCAAAACTATAGTTTGTTAACAAGAAATGTGTGGAGTGGTTGAAAAATGAGTTTTAATGACTCCAACCTACAGTGAGGGAAAAAAGTATTTGATCCCCTGCTGATTTTGTACGTTTGCCCACTGACAAAGAAATGATCAGTCTATAATTTTAATGGTAGGTTTATTTGAACAGTGAGAGACAGAATAACAACAAAAAAATCCAGAAAAATGCATGCCAAAAATGTTATAAATTGATTAGCATTTTAATGAGGGAAATAAGTATTTGACCCCTCTGCAAAACATGACTTCGTACTTGGTGGCAAAACCCTTGTTGGCAATCACAGAGGTCAGACGTTTCTTGTAGTCGGCCACCAGGTTTGCACACATCTCAGGAAAGATTTTGTCCCACTCCTCTTTGCAGATCTTCTCCAAGTCATTAAGGTTTCGAGGCTGACGTTTGGCAACTCGAACCTTCAGCTCCCTCCACAGATTTATATGGGATTAAGGTCTGGAGACTAGCTAGGCCACTCCAGGACCTTAATGTGCTTCTTCTTGAGCCACTCCTTTGTTGCCTTGGCCGTGTGTTTTGGGTCATTGTCATATTGGAATACCCATCCACGACCCATTTTATATGCCCTGGCTGAGAGAAGGAGGTTCTCACTCAAGATTTGATGGTACATGGCCCCGTCCATCGTCCCTTTGATGCGGTGAAGTTGTGCTGTCCCCTTAGCAGAAAAACACCCCCAAAGCATAATGTTTCCACCTCCATGTTTGACGGTGGGGATGGTGTTCTTGGGGTCATAGGCAGCATTCCTCCTCCCCCAAACACGGCAAGTTGAGTTGATGCCAAAGAGCTCAATTTTGGTCTCATCTGACCACAACACTTTCACCCAGTTCTCTTCTGAATCATACAGATGTTCTTTGGCAAACTTCAGACGGCCCTGTATATGTGCTTTCTTGAGCAGGGGGACCTTGCGGGCACTGCAGGATTTCAGTCCTTCACGGCGTAGTGTGTTACCAATTGTTTTCTTGGTGACTATGGTCCCAGCTGCCTTGAGATCATTGACAAGATCCTCCCGTATAGTTCTGGGTGATTCCTCACCGTTCTCATGATCATTGCAACTCCACGAGGTGAGATCTTGCATGGAGCCCCAGGCTGAGGGAGATTTACAGTTATTTTGTGTTTCTTCCATTTGCGAATAATCACACCAACTGTTGTCACCTTCTCATCAAGCTGCTTAGCGATGGTCTTGTAGCCCATTCCAGCCTTGTGTAGGTCTACAATCTTGGTGGAGAGTTTGGAATCTGATTGATTGATTGCTTCTGTGGACAGGTGTCTTTTATACAGGTAACAAGCTGAGATTAGGAGCACTCCCTTTAAGAGTGTGCTTCTAATCTCAGCTCGTTACCTGTATAAAAGACACCTGGGAGCCAGAAATCTTTCTGATTGAGAGGGGGTCAAATACTTATTTCCCTCATTAAAATGCAAATCAATTTATAAAATGTTTGACATGCGTTTTTCTGGATTTTTGTTGTTGTTATTCTGTCTCTCACTGTTCAAATAAACCTACCATTAAAATTATAGACGGATAATTTCTTTGTCAGTGGGCAAACTTACAAAATCAGCAGGAGATCAAATACTTTTTTCCCTCACTGTAAGTGTATGTAAACTTCTGACTTCAACTGTATTTCAGATCTTGCACACACTCTTCGATAGTATCTCTTGGCTCGCACTGTGATGATTGTGATTCTGAGCTCTCTGGTTCATACAGTGAGTCCTGGTCGTCACTCATCTAACTCTCACTCTCCATCATCTCCATCTGTGGTGGATAGGGGCAGGACTCGGTTGTATACTGATGGTCGTGAGAGCAATCTAGCTGGGCCTCGAGCTCTTTAGTGATGGTCCCAGTGGACCTCTTCTCTACCGCAGCAAAGGAACATCCTGGCACCCAGGAGTCAGTTTGGCATGCCGTACTAATCATTCTTTCCTGTTGGTGTAAAAATATTAAGGCATCTATTAGGCTATAGTTACATTCAAGAATCACTGCATATACTGTATATTGTCCATTTTATATCCAAAATGGCCTCAGGGATGACAGATTGTGTCTTGAAATAAATCATAGCCTTAGAAATAACATGGATTTGCATTTGCCTCCCCCTGCACAGTCTCCTCCAGGATGAAGGATGTCATCCTGAAAACAAAGAAACGTTGTGTTAAGACAACTGAACCGAAATATATCAGTTGGCGTTAACGGTCATGTTTGCTATGTCAACACACACGCACACACAAACAGCAAAGCAAATACAAGGACATTTATTTTTCAGCAAACATTAGCTGTCAACTTCAGTCTAGCTAAATAAGGTGGAGCTAACAAAGCATTCCAAAAACAAATCTGTCAACAAAATGTAATACTTGACTATCTGAGGTGGAAGCTAGCTAGCTACCTAATTAGAGCTACACGGAGAAACTGTTGCAATTTTAGTTGCAGTTGAGTTTCTTGCTAACGTTAGTTGCTGGGGGGGTGTTTCACAAAACACTTCAGACGCAATTAGCTAGTTACCTTCAACTAGAGTTACATCAAAGTTGTCCAGTGTCTAACGCTAGCCTAGTCAACAACAGTCATGACTCAAGATCGGTTAACGTTACCTCAGGCTCCATTGCCTCGCGTCGCCTCCTCCGTTCAGTCCGACTTTGTCTTGACTCCGAAGTCAGCGATGTTGATGATGGTCGGTCGGTAACCCCTACTGTACACCATAACCCTAGAAATTGAAAATGGAGGGGCAAGCAGAGGGATTCAACGTAGGCCTATGACTCCTTTCCATTCGGAAACTCCCGGTTGCCGCATCGAAAGTGCCTTTCATCGCGAAGTCTTCCTCCGCGAAGCGCTGCCTGCAGATCCTGCCAGCTCGAGTTGGCACGTCCTTCCTCTTCAGGACATGGAGCCATTTCTTCAAAAGTTGTGGGTCCTTGCGCAGCCGATGGTACCTTACCGAGGGATTTTTTTTTGGAGCCAATTCGTACAGCCTGGCGCTATACAGTTCATATTTGAATTACTAATTGTTGTTGCCATCTTAGTTGTCTGCACCTAACCTCACTCTCTTCGATTCTCTCCGCGCGAAAAATTCAATACCACAGACTGCTGATTCCTGCCAGTGACGCACTCGCGTCAGTCGTTACTATGGCAATAGAAAATGGCGCTGACCATAGCTCAAATAAACCTTGTCGACGATCAAAATACTAAATATAGATATGTTTTTATGTTAAATGCTCATGTTTAGTATTAGTTGATTGAATACATCTCTTTGCTTAGATTTACTTCCTAAAGTGTTTCCATTACCCCTTTTAAATGTTTGATCATAATATCGTCATTCAAATAAAATTTAACTTTATTTACATAGAACATTTTACAAAAGTACATCTCTGAAACCTACAACATGAATGATCTACAATTGATTTGATTTCCTAACAGTGATATCCATATCCTGCCTTTTTATTCCCAACTCCTGACAGAAGATCTTTGTGTTTCATTTTCTTTCTTCTTTTTGTTTTCATTCTGTTTTGTTTATTTGTGGACAACAAGTATATGACTCTCCAGGTTCACTTTGTGTCTGAAGCTTATGCCGCAGTCAGCACAGTTAAATGTCTCTCCTGTGTGAGTCGATATATGCTTTTTAAGGCTATATTTCTGTCTGAAGCTTTTCCCGCAGTCCCCACAGGTAAAAGGTGTCTCTCCTGTGTGCGTCAGTTTATGAACAGTTAGGTTTCCCTTATGGTTGAAGCTTTTCCCGCAGGCACCACAGCTAAATGGTTTTTCTCCTGTGTGAGTCCGTATATGCCTGTTAAGGGTAGCCTTCTGTCTGAAGCTTTTCCCGCAGTCACCACAGACAAACGGTTTCTCTCCTGTGTGAGTCCGTATATGCATGTTAAGGGTATCCTTGCGACTGAAGCTTTTCCTGCAGTTATCACAGTTAAATGATTTTTCTCCTGTGTAAGTCTGTATATGCCTGTTCAGGGTCCCCTTGCAATTTAACATTTTCCTGCAGTCATGTTTTTTAGACGTGGTGCTGGGTTTCCTCAATGGTGGGTTGGGATCCAATGGTGGGCTTATGTCAAATCCTACTAGATCACTGCTTGCAGCTGAACTGTGGCTGGAGACATTGTTTTGATTATCTCGAGGGTCATAGGGATTGTCGAGGTGGGTCACAGGGCCAAAAGGTTTGAGATCCAATTTTTTAGAGTCACTCTCTCTGTTCTCCACAGTCTTGGTTTGGGAAAGAGTCAAGGACTGAATTAGGTCGTCCTGATCACAATCACTTTTCACCCAGGGAGGAGTGAACATGAACTCTACAATGTCAGGCTCCAGCCCTTGAAGATGCCCTGCCACCTGAGTGGTCCCGACTTCCTCCTCTTCCTCTTTAATCTGTATGGGCTCTGGGTCATCCGTTCCCAGACTGGAGTTCCATTCCTCCTGGTCACAGTGCTGCTGCACAGGGTTAACCTCCTTCTCAGATACGGTAAGAGAGAACTGGAGGGAGTCTGTTCTACATCGTTTCATCTCCGGTGTGATCCGCAGCAGTCTGCGTAGCCTGTCATTCTCCACTTTAGATCTGGAAATCTCCTCCTGGTACTCCGCTACCACTTTCTCTACAGCCCCCATAATCTCAACGGTAGCCACTGTTAAACGCGTATTAACAAACACACTCAAAGACTGTAATTTAGCCATTTTCAGTGGACTGAGAGTTAACTGCGTCTAAAATCCACGTAAGGAATATTCCTGTTGCAAAATAAAAACAAAGCTTCCTCCAATTCTACTTCCGTGCTGTCTTATTCTTTAGTGTTTGTCAGCGGGTAGCGAGCCTGAAACGGACAACAGCGCCGCCAGCTGGATAGAGTTCTGAGCTGGGATAGATATACTACAGTACATAATAATAATAATATAATATGCCATTTAGCAGACGCTTTTATTCAAAGCGACTTACAGTCATGCGTGCATACATTATATATATTTTTTGTGTATGGGTGGTCCCGGGGATCGAACCCACTACCTTGGCGTTACAAGCGCCGTGCTCTACCAGCTGAGCTACAGAGGACCACAAAAGACCAAAAGTATGTGGACACCTGCTCGTCGAACATCTCATTCCAAAATCATGGACATTAATATGGAGTTGGTCCCCCCTTTGCTACTATAACAGCCTCCACTCTTCTGGGAAGACTTTCGCCAGGGTTGTGGGTTCGTTTCCCACGGGGGGCCAGTATGAAAATGTATGCACTCACTAACTGTAAGTCGCTCTGGATAAGAGCGTCTGCTAAATGACTAAAATGTAAATGTAAAATGGGACTTGCTTCCATTCAGCCACAAGAGCACAGGGGCATTGTCATGAAGAAACAGGAAAGGGCCTTCCCCAAACTGTTGCCACAAAGTTGGAAGCACAGAATCATCTAGAATGTCATTGTATGCTGTAGCGTTACGATTTCCCTTCACTGGAACTAAGGGGCCTAGCCCAAACCATGAAAAACAGCCCCAGACTATTATTCCTCCTCCACCAAACTTTACAGTTGGCACTATGCATTGGCATGTGCCAAACCCAGATTTGTCCGTCGGACTGCCAGATGGTGAAGCGTGATTTATCACTCCAGAGAACGCGTTTCCACTGCTCCAGAGTCCAATGGCGGCTAACTTTACACCACTCCAGCCGACACTTGGCATTGCGCATTGTGATCTTAGGCTTGTGTGCGGCTGCTCGGCCATGGAAACCCATTTTATGAAGCTCCCGACAAACAGTTCTTGTGCTGACTTTGCTTCCAGAGGCAGTTTGGAACTCGGTAGTGAGTGTTGTTTCAGCACTTGGCGGTCCCGTTCTGTGAGCTTGTGTGGCCTACCACTTCGCGGCTGAGCTGTTGTTGCTCCTAGACTTTTCCACTTCACAATAACAGAACTTACGGTTGACCGAGGCAGCTCTAGCAGGGCAGAAATTTGACGACCATCCTATGATGGTGCCACATTGAAAGTCACTGAGCTCTTCAGTAAGGCCATTCTACTGCCAATGTTTGTCTATGAAGATTGCTTGGCTGTGAGTCCGATTTTATACACCTGTAAGCAACGGGTGTGGCTGAAATAGTCGAATCCACTAATTTGAAGGGGTGTCCACATACTTTTGTAAATATAGTGTAAGAACGAAAGTGATATTTGAAGGGTGATATGGTGAGTGACAGTTCGAGACCTTGGGACAATAAGGTTCTATCTGCATAAAGCATAGTTATTCTGAGATATTGAGCATTAAAGTTTTCACATCCCATATCTCTGAACTGTTTTGTAGTGAAATCGTCTTTCATAACCCATTAAAGTCCTCAACTTAAAGGTACCTAAAGTGCAAAGTATCAAAATCCTAAAACCTGGCCTCCCGAGTGGCACAGCGGTCTAAGGCACTGCATCGCAGTGCTTGAGGCGTCACTACAGAACCGAGTTCGATCCCAGGCTGTGTCACAGCCGGCCGTGACTGGGAGACCCATGAGGCGGCGCACAATTGGCAATGTGTAGTCCGGGTTAGTGGAGGGTTTGGCCGGCCAGGATTTCCTTGCCCCATCGCGCTCTAGCGACTCCTTGTGGCAGACGCCTGCAAGCTGACTTTGGTCGCCAACTGGACGGTGTTTCCTCCGACACATTGGTGCGGCTGGCTTCCGGGTTAAGCGAGCAGTGTGTCAAGAAGCAGTGCGGCTTGGCAGGGTCGCGTTTCGGAGGACGCATGGCTCTCGACCTTCGCCTCTCCTGAGTCCGTAGGGGAGTTGCAGTGATGGGACAAGACTGTAACTACCAATTTAATATCACGAAAAAGGGGTAAAAAGTACAAACAAAATTCCTAAAACCTTATGGCTCTGAAATGTCAATCTGTGTTCAGCCATAAAGTTCTATCTGGCACCGAATGTTACAATTATTTCAATAGAAAAGTACACGCATTTATTGATTAAATCAAGATAATATCCTTCCTTCTTTCTAATCACATCATCAAATATATTAATTAATGTTCATCACACATTTGTTAAAGCGATAGTTCCCTAAATTGACAAATACACTATATCCTATGGATAACTAGCAACATTGTGAAAGCTTAGCTCTGGATGAGTAAACGGATATATTTTCTGGTTTCTGACACCCAAAGTCAGTAAACTACTTGCTAGTATTGTGAAATACTCCTTCCATGGAGGTTTTTGTATTGATATAGAACAAGACAAAACAGCAATGCCTCTCCTAAGGGCCTCAAACATGCTCTAAGGCACCTGTATTTATTAGTTTTTACCATAAAGAGCTTACATTATGGCCATTCTTCTGTAAAAGTGGTGGAAACAATCTAAATCATTTAAAAAGAGGAACAGAACCTATGATATGAATAATCAAGGACTTGGACTATAAAGTTATATCGGCAAAATGTACAATTTTGATGTACATAGTGTACAGTTGAATCATTGAATGGCTCATGAACTGAACTTTATATCTGTGTTATTATCTGTAAATCTCCTGAGTGGCGCAGTGGTCTAAGGCACTGCATCGCAGTGCTAACTGTGCCACTAGAGATCCTGGTTCGAATCCAGGCTCTGTCGCAGCCGGCCGCGACCGGGAGACTCATGGGCGGCGCACAATTGGCCAAGCGTCGTCCAGGGTAGGGGAGGGAATGGCCGGCAGGGATGTAGCTCAGTTGATAGAGCATGGCGTTTGCAATGCCAGGGTTGTGGGTTTGATTCCCACGGGGGGCAAGTATAAAAAAATATATATATGTATTCACTAACTGTAAGTCGCTCTGGATAAGAGCGTCTGCTAAATGACTAAAATGTAAATGATTCAACTGTACACTATGTACATCAAAATTGTAGATTTTGCCGATATAACTTTATAGTCCCAAGTCCTTGATTATTCATATCATAGGTTCTGGTCCTCTTTTTAAATGACTTTTTCAGAAGAATGGCCATAATGTAAGCATAAGGTATCCTTACAGGAAAACAACCACTTGCTTTAAAGTAACTGTCCAGTGTTTCCAGAGTTCTATTGAATATGACTTACAGTGCCTTCAGAAAGTATTTCAGGGGCATGTTTGTGTACAATGTCTAATAGCGAAATACATTTGGGGAGAGGGGTGCACACAAACTTAACCCACTAGGCACAAACTGGTTAAATCAAGGTTGTTTCAACATATTTTGTCAATGTATTGTGACGTGGAATCTACAGTGCCTTCAGAAAGTATTCACACCCCTTGACTTTTTCCATATTTTTTTGTGTTACAGCAGCTGAATTTAAAATTGATTAAATTGAGATTGACATTTTATGAATTAGTAAAAAATGAAAAGCTGAAATGTCAATAAGTATTCAACCCCTTTGTTATGGCAAGCCTAAATAAATTCAGGAGTAAAAATGTGCTTAACAAATCACAAGTTACATGGACTCATTCTGTATTAAATAATAGTGGTTAACATGATGTTTGAATGACTGCCCCATCTCTGTACCCCACACATACAATTATCTGTAAGGTCCCTCAATCGAGTAGTGATTTTTAAGCACAGATTCAACCACAAAGACCAGATGTGTAAAAAAATATCCCTTTGAATAAGGTGAAATTATTAGTGTTTTATTTTTCATTCTTTTTTAAATGTTAGAATGTATCTTCCACTTTGACATTAGAGTATTTTGTGTAGATTGTTGACCAAAACTGACAATGAAATCAATTTTAATCCCACTTTGTAACACAACAAAATGTGGAAAAAGTCAAGGGATGTGAATGCTTTCTAAAGGCACTGTATAATTATTTACAATATGAGTGAAATAGTTTTCCTTTCAAAATATGGTAATTATCTATGTTAAAAAGCAGCTTTTCTGTGTTGGATTGGTGTGGGCGTACCCCAACAACAGAATGGCGTGGGTGTATATCGGTCATAAAAAATATTCACGCAAGTAGACCACTGATTGGTCAGCTCATCCTCCTCAGGATGACATCCTCCTCTATGAGGAAATAGAAAGCATTTTTGCAACCTTCTGTTTGAGATTCAAGTTTGAGCACAGGAGGTTGGTGGCATCTTAATTGGGGATCATGGGCTCGTGGTAACGGCTGGAGTGGAATAAGTGGAATGGTATCAAATACATCAAACACATGGTTTCCAGGTGTTTGATGCCATTCCATTTTCCCCATTCCAGCCATTATTATGAGCCGTCCTCCCCTCAGCACCCTCCACTGATTGAGGTGGGGTTTTTGAAGTGATTTTTCTATAATTTATGCTTTGGCCACAAATACGAGTATTACTTTAAAGGTTCTACAGAACTTCTTCCGGCAGTTTGAAAGTGCATTCAGTATACAGTTTTATGCTAAAATAAAGCCTATTGTAAGGACTCAAAGCTAATCAATTAAGTCAATTGATTAATGCAAAATTCTAATGTCATATTTTTCAAACATTCAGTCACTTGTTGATTAAAGGAATATGAACTAGAGTAGACAATGGGCTGTGCTTAAATGTTTTAAATTTTATTCCAGGCCATCAGTTAAAGGTGCACTATGCAGAAATCGCTCTGCCATTTCCTGGTTGCTAAAATTCTAATAGTTTGCCTAATTTCAGTTTGTGACAAAACAAGCAAGTATAGTATAGAGAATCATTGTACCATCTAAACTGCTGTGAAATATACTGAACAAAAATATAAACGCAACATGTAAAGTGTTGGTCCCATGTTTCATGAGCTGATATAAAAGATCCCAGAAATGTTCCATATACACAAAAAGCTTCTCTCAAATTTTGTGCACAAATTTGGTTACATCCCTGTTAGTGAGCATTTCTCCTTTGCCAAGATAATCCATCCACCTAACAGGTGTGGCAAATCAAGAAGCTGATTAAACGGCATGATCATTACACAGGTGCACCTTCTGCTGGGAACAATAAAAGGCCACTAAAATGTGCAGTTTTGTCACAACACAATGCCACAGATGTCTCAAGTTTTGAAGGAGCGTGCAATTGGCATGCTGACTGCAGGAATGTCCATCGGTGCTGTTGCCAGAGAATGTAATGTTAATTTCTCTACCATAAGTTCTCTATTCTCGTTTTAGAGAACTACGCCAGCCCAGGACCTCCACATCCGGCTTCTTCACCTGCGGGATCGACTGAGATCAGCCAATCGGACAGCTGATGAAACTGAGGAGTATTTCTGTCTGTAATAAAGCCCTTTTGTGGTGAAAAACTCATTCTGATTGACTGGGCCTGGCTCCCCAGTGCATGTTGCGTTTATATTTTTGTTTAGTATATATTTTCCATAACCAAAAAGATTGTATTTTCAACTGGTGTACAAAACTGAAAATAAGACACAAAAACGAAACTTAAGAACGGGAAGCATAGAAATAGCACACATAGAAAAGTTACAGTCTTGTCCCATCGCTGCAACTCCCGTACAGACTCGGGAGAGGCGAAGGTCGAGAGCCATGCGTCCTCCGAAACACGACCCTGCCAAGCCGCACTGCTCGCTTAACCCGGAAGCCAGCCGCACCAACGTGTCGGAGGACACTCCGTACAACTGGTGACCGTGTCAGCGTGCATGCACCTGGCCTGCCACAGGAGTCGCTAGATCGTGATCGGACAAGGACATCCTGGCTGACCAAACCCTCCCCTAACCCGGACGACGCTGGGCCAATTGTGCGCCGCCTCATGGGTCTCCCGGTCACGGCCGGCTGTGACGCCTCAAGCACTGCGATGCAGTGCCTTAGACCGCTGCGCCACTCAGGAGGCCTTAGACTTGCTTTCAATGGGAATGACAGATCTATACCTAACATTTCTATGTGAATTTTGTTGGGTTGCCCAAAAAGTTACATATTGCAGCTTTAAGATTTAAATGAAGGGAATAAAATGGATCCACAAAAGACAATGTTGTCTAAAACAGCACCCAGGCAGCCTAGCGGTTAAGAGCATTGGACCAGTAACCGAAAGGGCCGACCAGGTGAAACATCTGTCGATGTGCCCTTGAGCAAGGCACTTAACTCTTAATTGCTCCTGTAAGACGCACAAGATAAGAGCATCTTCTAAGTGAAACTTCTTTTTTTAAAGTAAAAAAAATAAAATCAGGCAATAGAAGAGGTATAAAATTATAAAATGAGAAATATAGAACCATTCTTTCTGAACTAAGTGCAAAAAGTAACTTCAGACAAAGACAAAATGTGAACAACACAAGTATGGAAAACACTTGTTGTAATTGTTTGAGGAAATTAAAATGAAATTGTGCAAAACAAAAGTGCATAAACCTGTAATTGGTTTACTTTGTCTCGCAGTTGTGACAGATGTAGATCTCCTTCAGTGTAGGCCTTGTGTGCCCACCCATGACTGAACAAGCATTGCACCCAGATCTGCCCTGGCATAGATGAGCCTAAATCTACCCCACAACTTCCTGTTCATCCTACTTAGTTGCTCTCTTCTGAGCTCTCTTCATCACCACCTGGTATGGCAACTGCTCGACCTCCGACCCCAAGGCACTACAGAGGGTAGTGCGTACGGCCCAGTACATCACTGGGGCCAAGCTTCCTGCCATCCAGGACCTCTATACCAGGCAGTGTCAGAGGAAGGCCCTAAAAATTATCAAAGACTCCAGCCACCCTAGTCATAGACTGTTCTCTCTGCTACCGCACGGCAAGCAGTATCGGAGCGCCAAGTCTAGGTCCAAAAGGCTTCTTAACAGCTTCTACCCCCCAAACCATAAGACTCCTGAACAGCTAATCATGGCTACCCCGGACTACGCTGCTGCTACGCTGTTTATTATTTATGCATAGTCACTTTAACTCTACCCACATGTACATATTACCTCAATTACCTCGACTAACCAGTGCCCCCGCACATTGACTCTGTACCGGTACCCCCTGTATATAGCCTCCCTACTGTAATTTTATTTTACTGCTGTTCTTTAATTATTTGCTTTTTAAATTGTTTTGTTAAACTGCATTGTTGGTTAAGGGCTTGTAAGTAAGCATTTCACTGTAATGTCTACACCTGTTGTATTTGGTGCAAGTGACAAATAAAATGTGATTTGATTAGATTTTTTGCCACACTGTTTCTCCAAGCTGCGCTATCACTATATTCTGTTTTCTCCTCCTCCAGGGCACCTTGACAGGGGTATCGGTTAGAATGGTGGTCGTTCTTCTCCTTCGCCTTGGGGAAAGGTCGGACAGCTACAGGGCTGAAGTTAGCCTCTACTAATCCGAGAGTGGAATACTCCTCTCTCATCTCTAACATGTAGGCTCATTAAACTTAATTTGAACGTACTTTACCTGTTGTCCGCTGAGTTTGTCCTTATGTAGGAGGTAATCTGAGCCAAAATATCCACAGAGTAGTGTTATTACTTTCAGTACGCTGGTCTGTATGTCGGTTTGTATTTTCAATGCTGACACAATTCGCACGGGACTTGCACAATATGTCAACAATGGCCAAATTTAACCGAAGCACAGACCAAACGTTGTCCCACGCAATCAGATGGCACATTTCCCAAGCACTTTCAGCTGATTGAGAGGGAACGGGCTTTGGTCGACAACATTCGGTTACATTGGGTTATTGTTTACATATTGTGCATCACATGGAATGCATCAGGACATGGGATATACAAGCAACAGAACCTACCGGCGCCACAAAAAGTCAGGTAAACAACACTTTCCTGTGGATACCCCATCTCCGCTTCCTACCACCAAAAGGACCAACAGCACGGAAAACCGGTAAAGTACGTTTAAATATCAATGTATTCAACATTCTGTCTTGTAGACTATTGCGTCTTTTTTACAGTGACTTCTTTCAGACTGAGATCCATGGCGTAACCATGGTAACGGTCTGATGTTTAGACAAGGCTGAAGTCATCTGTGGGGATGGATTGACTCAGCTCAGAATCACAGAAGAGATCTTCAGGTGTAGATGGATCTGAGACAGCGTGGAGGTGATCCCCAGAGGTGGAATGGGCTTGGACCTCCCCCTGCCCAGGAGAGACAGACCGCCCCGCAGGACTTGCATTGACCTCCACCCTGGGCTGGGCCTGTGGAGAGACACCATGGCCCCCTGGTGCTGCAGCTGGCTCCTCTGTGGCGGCGGGGGCAGGATGACCTGTTACAAAAGCCCGTGAGAATTTGGCTTCTGTAAAGACAGTAGGGTTAATGGCCATATCCGGTACAGTGAAACCCAGCCATGACGTTGGCTGGTGTTACAGCAGATGGTAGGGCTGTTGCCACAATTCCTGGTATGTCGTATTTGGAGACCGTTCTGCCAGGGTACGTCTTTATCCAGCAATCAATGGCACTGTTGATGTATCTCCTCTGGGGGCCGTAAACACTTCGATCCAGCATTGACCGCTAGTGCCGTAGTAACCAATGTTCCTCTCTCTGCAGATGTCGTTGGTCCGACCTGCTTCCTCTCTCTGTTGGCAATGATTTTGTCCGGCACTTAGTCTGTTGCGGTGCTGGTCTCATCCATGTTCCACACATCTTTGGCCTCAAAGTGGTGGCGGCCCAGAATAGTAGAAAGGTTGTTGAAGAACTGAGACACGTTCGTTGCATTGAAACTTGTCCCCCTCAATAGACTGGTGGCTTGAGGCTGTCGGATGGAGAGGCCGGGGTGCCTTTTGAGGAAGGAGGTGAACCAGTCTTTCCCTGCCATCTCCTTGGTGGCCCAGGTCTCAGGGTACTTGCAGCGGTAGTGTTGGGCAAGCTGGTATGCAAGTCTCCGCACCTGAAAAATAAAGACAATATTAATTATGAACTGTTATGAACCTCTATATGACCTTTTAAAATCTTATAGGTAATCAACTACCAGCACTATTGTAAGCTTACCTCTTTATGACTCAATCCAAAGTATATATCTGCAGCCCTCAACAGATACTCCTTCAGATTATTCTCCTGCTCCTGACTAAACACTCTGTTGTGGGCTCTGTATGCTGGCAGTCGGGCATTGGCGCTATCCTTTTTCCTCCGACAGTACCTAAACAAAGTAACATGGCATACACCATGTGCTTTCGCTGCACTCCTGACTGACTGGCCCCCTACCAGCACATCTTGGGAGGCTCTCTCAAATGTCTCTGGATGAAACAGACCTCTGTCTGTGGTTCTGACCCTAACTCTGGGCATGGGGAGTATATGAGTTTTTTTATACATGGTGCTGGCTTTAGTACCGGGTTTCCTTAATGTTGAGTTGGGATCCAATGGAGGGTTTATGTCAAATCCTACTGGATCGCTGCTTACAGCTGAGCTGTGGCTGGAGACATTGTCTTGATTATCTGGAGGGTCACTGGTAATGTTGAGGTGGGTCACAGTGCCAAAAGGTTTGAGATCCAATGGTTTAGAGTCACGCTCTCTCTTTTCCACAGTCTCGGTTTGGGGAAGACTCAAAAGTGGGTCCTCCTGACCACAATCACTTTTCACCCAGGGAGGAGTGAACATGAACTCTACAATGTCAGGCTCCAGCCCTTGAAGATGCCCTGCCACCTGAGTGGTCCCGACTTCCTCCTCTTCCTCTTTAATCTGTATGGGCTCTGGGTCAGCCATCCCCAGACTGGACTTCCATTCCTCCTGGTCACAGTGCTGCTGCACAGGGTTAACCTCCTCCTCGGAGACGGTAAGAGAGAACTGGAGAGAGTCTATTCTACATAGTTTTATCTCCGGTGTGATCCGCAGCAGTCTGCGTAGCCTGTCATTCTCCTCTTTAGATCTGGAAATCTCCTCCTGGTACTCCGCTACCACTTTCTCTACAGCCCCCATAATCTCTACGGTAGCCACTGTTAAACGCGTATTAACAAACACACTCAAAGACTGTAATTTAGCCATTTTCAGTGGACTGAGAGTTAGGTATTCAGTTAGCTGCGTCTAAAATCCACGCAAGGAATGACCATATTGCAAAATAAAAACAAACCTCCCTCCAATTCTACTTCCGTGTTGTCTTCTTCTTTTGTGTATGTCAGTGGGTGTCAAGCCCCGAAACGAAAAACAGCGCCGCAAGCTGGATATAGTTCTGAGCTGGAATAGAAGAACAAACGTGTTTTTATAGTGTGACATGGTGAGTGGCAGCAGCTAGGTTTCCATCCAGATTTTCATGCGAAAATTCCAAAATCCGCATTTTCCACCAGACACGATGATATGGTGTGTAGTCCTCCCACTACAATTTGGGAAACCATGCAGTTTATTAGGCTACAGATCAAATAAGTTATGATGAACTTCTCAGGGTGGTGAGTGCACGGTGATCTTGATAGCCTACTCCTTTCCAATAAATATTGAGGGTCTTATTCTGGTGACATGATGATCGATGCTTGACTGCCATTTGACAAATACAAATATTCTAGCTCTTACCCATAATAATTTCATCATGTAGACCAGGGTTCTTCAATTCCGGTCCTGGAGGGCCGAAACTCCTCTGTCTTTCATCCTCTCCTTCTAATCAGGGGCTAATTCAGACCTGGGACACCAGGTGAGTGCAATTAACTACCAGGTAGAAATAAAAAACAGAAGTGTTTCGGCCCTCCCCGCACTGTATCTGCAAGTTTTTGTTGCAAAACTATTGATAGAATTTAAAATGCGGTGAAAACATATAGAATTTTAGATTTTTATTGGGTACATGAAAACTTAAGCGGAAAAGTACATTTTGTGTGCACTATGTCATAATGCACAGATTTTTATCCACAAGTCCATTTGGTGGAAACACACCACTGGTGGAAAATGCTCATATTTTCTTTATGCGTATTCTAGAATATTTGCATGAAGATCTGTCTCCAATTGCATGGAAACCTAGCTAGTGACATAGTTGACAGTGTATTGATATCATGGCTGTAACTACATATCAGGACACCAAGGTCCAGACCGCAGTAATCTTTTCTAATTTGAAAATAAATAATTACAAATAAAAAATGTGTACAAAATAAAGAAAATCAATTATGGGTCAACATCTAGGCTAAATATTGCTCCCAGCGTTGATCAAAACTCAGATTACTTATACAGTTGAACTCGGAAGTTAAATACACCTTAGCCAAATACATTTAAACTCAGTTTTTCACAATTCCTGATATTTAATCGTAGTAAAAATTCCCTGTTTTAGGTCAGTTAGGATCACCACTTTATTTTAAGAATGTGAAATGTCAGAATAATAGTAGAGAGAATTATTTATTTCAGCTTTTATTTATTTCATCACATTCCCAGTCGGTCAAATAATAATATGCCGCTTAGCAGACGCTTTTATCCATTTAGCGTCTGCTAAATGACTAAAATGTAAATGTAATGTTGCTTCAATATATCCACATAATTTTCCTTCCTCATGATGCCATCTATTTTGTGAAGTGCACCAGTCCCTCCTGCAGCAAAGCACCCCCAAAGCATGATGCTGCCACCCCCGTTCTTCACGGTTGGGATGGTGTTCTTCGGCTTGCAAGCCGCCCCCACTGACAAAGAAATGATCAGTCTATAATTTTTATGGTAGGTTTATTTGAACAGTGAGAGACAGAATAACAACAAAAAAATCCAGAAAAACACATTGATTTGCATTTTAATCGGGGGAAATAAGTATTTGACCCCTCTGCAAAAACATGACTTAGTACTTGATGGCAAAACCCTTGTTGGCAATCACAGAGGTCAGACGTTTCTTGTAGTTGGCCACCAAGTTTGCACACATCTCAGGAGGGATTTTGTCCCACTCCTGTTTGCAGATCTTCTCCAAGTCATTGTTTCGAGGCTGACGTTTGGCAACTCAAACCTTCAGCTCCCTCCACAGATTTTCTATGGGATTAAAGTCTGGAAACTGGCTAGGCCACTCCAGGACCTTAATGTGCTTCTTCTTGAGCCACTCCTTTGTTGCCTTGGCCGTGTGTTTTGGGTCATTGTCATGCTGGAATACCCATCTACGACCCATTTTCAATGCCCTGGCTGAGGGAAGGAGGTTCTCACCCAAGATTTGACGGCCCAGTCCATCGTCCCTTTGATGCGGTGAAGTTGTCCTGTCCCCTTAGCAGAAAAACACCTCCAAAGCATAATGTTTCCACTTCCATGTTTGACGGTGGGGATGGTGTTCTTGGGGTCATAGGCAGCATTCCTCCTCCTCCAAACACGACGAGTTGAGTTGATGCCAAAGAGCTCCATTTTGGTCTCATCTGACCACAACACTTTCACCCAGTTCTCCTCTGAATCATTCAGATGTTCATTGGCAAACTTCAGACGGGCATGTATATGTGCTTTCTTGAGCAGGGGGACCTTGCGGGCGCTGCAGGATTTCAGTCCTTCACGGCGTAGTGTGTTACCAATTGTTTTCTTGGTGACTATGGTCCCAGCTGCCTTGAGATCATTGACAAGATCCTCCCGTGTAGTTCTGGGCTGATTCCTCACCGTTCTCATGATCATTGCAACTTCACGAGGTGAGATCTTGCATGGACTCCCAGGCCAAGGGAGATTGACAGTTCTTTTTTGTTTCTTCCATTTGCGAATAATTGCATCAACTTTTGTCACCTTCTCACCAAGCTGCTTGGCGATGGTCTTGTAGCCCATTCCAGCTTTGTGTAGGTCTACAATCTTGTCCCTGACATCCTTGGAGAGCTCTTTGGTCTTGGCCATGGTGGAGAGTTTGGAGTCTGATTGATTGATTGCTTCTGTGGACAGGTGTCTTTTATACAGGTAACAAGCTGAGATTAGGAGCACTCCCTTTAAGAGTGTGCTCCTAATCTCAGCTCGTTACCTGTATAAAAGACACCTGGGAGCCAGAAATCTTTCTGATTGAGAGGGGGTCAAATACTTATTTCCCTCATTTAAATGCAAATCAATTTATAAAATGTCTGACATGCGTTTTTCTGGATTTTTTTGTTGTTATTCTGTCTCTCACTGTTCAAATAAACCTACCATTAAAATTATAGACTGATCATGTCTTTGTCATTGGGCAAACGTACAAAATCAGCAGGGGATCAAATACTTTTTTCCCCTCACTGTATCCTTACAGGAAAACAACCACTTGCTTTAAAGGTTCTAAAGGACTTCTTCAGACAGTTTGAAAGTTAATTCAGTATACAGTTTGACGCCTTTTCAACAGACCAACCACCATTCACATGCCAATTCCAGTAAAAGCTTCAAGTGTCTTCCTGAGAGCGCAGCCCTCTACCCATTTTCAGAATTCCCATTCACTGGGGTTTTCAACATTTCTCTGAGCTCCTCTGAGGAGGCTAAGAACTTTGATAATTGTTTACTTTGTTTTAGTTCAGCCGTTGATGAGTAACCTCCCATGACACATCGAGTATAAGATTGAGACACATCGCTGCACATCGAGTATAAGACAGAAGCAATGTATCAGATCTGATGAGTCTGTGGAAAACCCTGTGAACTATCCCTCTAATATCCAAGGACCGGCTAATGCTAATACTGCTAATGCTAATGCTAATCCTACTGCTACTGCTATTGCTATTGCTATTACTATTGTTCAGTCAGTCTACATCATGGTTTCCACAAAACTCAACAGGACCACATGTTTTCTCTCCATCTCACGCCTTCTCAATATGAAAATGGTTGAAGAGGAGCAAGGCATGTTTGATCCGTCTGCCTGTTTTTTCTGGCACATCGTTGCATTTTTCGGACTCATTATTTTTCTATTTTCTCTGGCGATGAACAGCTACCTACTCATTGGGTTGTTGAGACATATAGGAACACTTCTGGCAGCCGTCCTATGGCTTGTTAAATCATTTATTGAGCTATAATCTTTTGCATAGCTTTATTATAGCTTTACTAGAGCTTTATTTGAGCTTTATTTGATCTTTATTTGAGCTTTATTAAAACTTTATTAGAGCTTTACTAGAGCTGTATTAGATCCTGTGTTTGTGCTTTCCCAGCCGTACTTAAGTTGTAAAACTCATAATCATTTATCCTTTGTTTATGATGGTTTGCAATTTGCTTCCCTAACTATGTTTGATTTGAGGTAATCTCATTCATACTTTATACAGTCTTAATGTTGATACTAGTTTATAAAGTCTTAATGTTGATACTAGTTTATACAGTCTTAATGTTGATACTAGTTTATAAAGTCTTAATGTTGATACTATTTATAAGTCTTAATGTGAATTTATAAAGTCTTAATGTTGATACTAGTTTATAAAGTCTTAATGTTGATACTAGTTTATAAAGTCTTAATGTTGATACTAGTTTATACAGTCTTAATGTTGATACTAGTTTATAAAGTCTTAATGTTGATACTAGTTTATAAAGTCTTAATGTTGATACTAGTTTATAAAGTCTTAATGTTGATACTAGTTTATAAAGTCTTAATGTTGATACTAGTTTATAAAGTCTTAATGTTGATACTAGTTTATAAAGTCTTAATGTTGATACTAGTTTATACAGTCTTCATGTTGATACAAGTTTATACATTCTTCATTTTGATACTAGTTTATACAGTCTTGAAAAAAATGTTGATATTGATACTAGTTCTTTCCTATGTTGTTTATTTGCAGATGCCATCCAATATCATCATTTTCACCATGACCTAAATAAAAGGTCAACTGAGAACTGAAAAAGGTATTTGTGCTCTTAGACACTCCACTGTGAAGCACTCCATCCTATGTCCTAATACATCAGACTGTGACACCTTTCTGGTTACACAGTGTGAAACAAAGCATTGCAAAAATGTGGAAAGCTTCTTTACAAGCCAGAATGTTGAATACAATTACATTTGCACTTACTCTACCGGTTGTCTGTGTTGTTGGTCTTTGTATCTCGAAATTTGACAAATATCCACAGGTAAGTACTATTAAGCCGGTACTGCTGTAGAGATACTCATCACCTGGCACATGCGCAAAATCATGTAAACACCT